AAGCCAAGATAAAATTTATAGTTTTTTACAATAATTTGTTTGTTTGTGTGAAGTTAAGGACAAAGCTACACAATGGGCTATCTGTGCCATGCCCACCACGGATGTCGAAACCCGGTTTCTAGCGTTGTAATTCTACAGACTTCTTGAACAAAAACATTAACGAAAAGCGTTAAAAGTACATAAGAAGACATACAAACTAGAAGCTGAAATGTATAATAAAGGTAAGCATTTTTTTCTTTTTCCTTTTAAAAAGTATCAAAAATGACATGAAAATAAAATTCCTTATTTTCCAAAAGCCACATATTCTCTACAAAGTCCATCTCAAGTGTCAAAGGTTTGCATGCAATACGATTTCTTGTTTGTTTTTTGAAATACAATAAAACACACCATGCTAAATGTACGTCGAATCGGAGCATCAAGATATTTGATAGTTAGTATAGCGGAAAAGATTGGGAATCACATGAAAATCTGCACAAACAATGACATAAACTTTTGTAATTGAAATTCCATAAACCCTCTTGGACAAGGCAAGTAAGTATTCAATATACTGGCCTGCAGTCAGTAAAACGATGAAATTTAGAAAAGGGAAATCCTAACTATCTTAATATTTTAATCTCATTTATATGCTTTTTAATTTTATATAAAATTACCGTTAAAGCTGGTTAGCTTAAAGATACAGTAGGGTAACTTATATGAACGATTGCTCAGTACTTCTATTGTGGACTAACTCGTCATCGATCATCAAAACAATTGAAAAATATGTAACCTGAAAAACACATCATTATCAAGACTGGAGCACATGAAAATAAAAGGGGAAACATTTTCATATGAAAGAAGATCAAAAATAGGGTGCTTCAGTTTCCTTGATACTCTGGCTACGAAGCAAGGAAAACATATAAATCTCTAGGTATCATGCACAGCGTTTCCGACAGTATTTTAATTCTTAGCTACTTCAAAGTTTACTAAGGTCATAAGCAGGTTGGGTTTTGAGTATATGAAAGCGTGAAAGTTAGTTATTAGTTAATTGTTTTTGACATCGATGAAGTGTTTTCTTTTTCTTAAATATCACCAAAACCTACTCGAAGGCTATCTGTACTAACCGTCCCTAATTTTGAAGTAATGGACGAGAGGGAAGATAGCTTGTCAACACTGCCCACCACCAGAAACGTCGAGAGTCAGAACGGGCCCCGGTGCAAACATCCTAGCCGGGTCCCCTTTCTCTTTTTAACATTTTCCAGAATTTATTAAATATAAGATCCTAAATTAGGACAGCAATGAGCTCATAAACCAGACAAAATCATAGCAGCAGCCGTTTTTACCTCACAGTATAAGAGTAAAAACGCTAATAAAGCAACAACAAATATCTATTAAACATATAAAGTAACAAATACATATTAATTATTACCCAAATTATTATTTCAGTCGTTCTTAATGTATCAAGCGTCTATATATATAAAGAAAAGCCAAAAACTATCGTTTTTATCATTAAATGAAGATATAGCCTAAAGATGCTTTACGGCATAAGTAGGTTTCATTCGCCCGGACCCCCTGTCGGCGGGCTTGCTCACCACCAACTCGTAATATACTCTAATAGAATAGTGAGATTTGACCGTCACTATTATAACTCACCCACAGCTCTTAAGTACAAAGGACAATTATTATATTTTTTTGCGATAACTAGGCCGCACTGAGACCTAATGAAATATATTTCCAACATAACAACATTTACAGAAACATATGTAATACATTTATAATGCAACATTCCGAATAGTTTCTCAGTTTTGCCACCAAACTTTTTATAAGATTTATGCCATTCCCATCCCCCGATGCTCATTGTAAATCTGACTGCTTATAACGCTAAAAGTCGGGTTTCGATACCCGCGGTGAGCGGAGCACAGATAGCACATTGCGTAGTATTGTGCTTGATAATTAACAGCAAATACTATTTATTTATTCTCCAAATAAAAATGTTACTATTTTGTTATGCGTAATGTTAAACATTTATTACTTCATATGCTGTTTCATTTCATTACAGCAGTGTATCTGCAGATTTACATCTCTATAAACTGGGTGGACAGAGTACAGATGACCCATTGTGTAGCTTTGTGCTTACCTTTGAACAAATATTAGGTCGTCAAGAAATTAATGTCGCGTTTTGGAATTGTGATGGCAGGGGCCGACACGTTGGAATTGATATTGATGCTGTGAAGACGTTCGTCTAACCTAAGGCGTGAAAATGGCCCTGAAATTGCATGTCTCTCATGAAATAATGCATAAACATCTAAAGTATATGGAAAGACTCCATAAAGAAGGTGTTTGGGTGCCTCATGAACTCTTCGGTGATATCATTTCCAACATGTGAACGTTGCTTTGTCTCTTCTGGCGCGTAATGCACGTGAACCATTTTTGGACAGAATTGTCACGGGTGATGAAAAATGGATTTTCTATGCAAATATTAAACGCCAAAAACAATGGCTCAGTCCTAGATAAAAACCACTTCCGACCCCAAAACCTGGACTCCATCCACAGAAGGTAATGCTTTGCATTTGGTGGGACATCAAAGGAGTAATTCATTTCGAACTCTTAAATCCACAGCGAACTATCAATGCAGAGATCTACTGTTAGCAACTGGAACATTTAAATCAAGCCCTTCACTCGTCAATCAGAAAGGTATTCTTCTTCTCCACGACAATGCATGTCCACATGTAGCACATTTGATGCAACACAAAATTATGGAGTTGGGTTGGGAAGTTCTCCCCCACCCACCATACTCTACAGATATTACAGCATCAGATTACAATCTTTCTCGTTTGCTGCAACACCATCTTAATGGGAAAACGTATGCAAATGTGAAAGGTGTTAAAGAGGACATCGACACGACTTTTGCTTCAAAGCCAAGTGATTTCTTTAATCAGGGTATTAATAACCTCATTGTAAGATGGAAAAGCATCATCGATCAGAATGGAGACTATTTCACTTAATAAATGTTTTGTTTTGACATATAAGTTGTTCGTGTTTTTTCATCTAAAAAATAGCGATATTAATTTATTGACGACCTAATACAAATTCTTTTGGTAAAAAATAAAAAAGATGGATATTAGACGTCTACAAAGCGTTTACGTTTTTATCATAATTAAAGTTATATTATTTTTTAAATAAATTTATTTAAGCTTAGCTCTTTAAAAACAAACGAAAAACATTTGGTTTATAATTATCGAAACACATTATTACCAGAGAAAGGTTTAAATAACAAAATTAAGTGGTAATTGAAATTTAGCATGAAAACCTATCTATAAAGAAATTTCAATGAAGATCTCTTAAGAATCAAAAAATAATTTTGAAGTATTTTGAAACCATATTGTGATAGAAACCTAGCATAGGGACAACAAAGGACAATTTGGTTCTACGAGACTATAACTACACACACACATGACAGAAGTGGCCTAATGGTTAGTATACCGGGACCTTCAATCCGAGAGTATTGGTTTGTATTGTGCCGTCTCGAAAACACATTCCATGTTCTGGGACCATGAGTGCACTATAAGAGTAACATTCGAACGCTGCAATTCAGTCAGACAAAAATAGAAAACATTTGTTGATGGGCGCTGTTTTCTTAAATGCCTTCTCATATAGCCACTCTGTAACAAATGAATGAGCAAAGATGCACACCAATTCCCAAGAAAAAAACAAAGAAGAAAAAAATAAATCCATAATTTATTTATGCCCTTTTAAGTTCTTGTAAGATGCTATCCTCCATTGCTGTTGGCGGAAACTCATCACGTATACTAATTACTCCGTTAATAAAAACTGAAAATTACAGGCCTTAGAATTTTTATCTAATACAATTTTACTTGGAAACGTTTTATTTAGAAACTATGAGCTTATATACTTGACACTAGATGTCACAGCTATCACAATAACGTTAGTGATGTTGTTTACATCAGGTAGGCAACTAATATACGTTTATCTGTAATGCATAATCTTTTGTATTACTATTGCAAAAGAGTTTCGTATAATTATTTGAAATATCGTTTATTTCTATCATTTTACGTTTGAAAAGTGCTGGTCAAAAAGATGAAGTTAACTGGCATTTTCTCTTCTGATCTGTCTATCTATCCATTTTCAGACTATTAACGTCATCAGTGACGTTAACAAAGGACGTAGATAAATCTCAGATTTGACCTTGTGAAAGTTTTGGATCTTTAATTACTCTAATCAGAGTCTATGGGTACTTGTATATGAGAACTCAGTAGTAATGTTTATGTTGGCACAAAAATTTATCTTTTATGCCCTACTTTTGTTAGATGCTTAGAAATAATACAGTTAAATAAAAGCAATACATCCAACTCATATTAATAGTAATATTTTAACTTTATTTTGTCTAACTAGTGTATTACTATTAAACGTATTTTCATTGATCTCTAAGGTATTAGCCGTGTTGATCACAGATTAATATTTTATGTGCTATGTATTTTTACATACATAATTTAAATATGTCTAGCTACAGACTATAATTTCTCAAAGTAAGGTGTAAAGCTACTAAGATATGAAACTTTTGTATTTTTATAAATTTTTAGATTTAAAAAGAAAACATTAATACATGTATTTAAATTGTTACATTTTTTTCATTGTACTTTGGTTGAAAATTTGTAGGGTAAAGTTTTGTTTAATGTTTGAATATGAGCATGCTATATCAGCAGTGAATGGGTCAAGTTGTAACAGTTTTAGAGGCTTTTAAAGAACCTTTTCGAATGTGCTGTTTGTATATAAACTTTTAAACATATATATAAAGAATGAAAGATATAATAATTAGAGTTTATAGATATTTCAATACTGAAGATAATGTTGCAAAATAAACTGAAAATATGCTTTTTGAATTTAAGTTGCTTTAAGGTATATTTAATTTTTCATGCAGTTTTAATTTTTTAAATTATAATAATCAGGCTGTTTAGTTTTGTACTTATTGCTTACCTCATAGTACATTCTGCTATTATAAGAACTTTTGAAAGTAAGGAATATTATGACAATACCCCAACAGTGCCATATTTGCCAGATCTACTGCTGATGAGGCCTTTCACTTAAAACCTGGGCTCTTTTGGGCTGGCTGGGATAAAAGTTGGTCAAGTGTAATTTCTCGACAAATTTATTATGTTACTACACGTCAAAATTAGAGTAAGAATTTCTTAATGCCATGTTATTTATATATATTTTGCCACCAAATTGTTAATTTTTATTATTTATATATTTTACTTGAATTAATCTATTCGTCATTCAGAAGAACTGGGAAACCAAGAAGCTAGTCTTCTTGTATTCTGTCCCGGACCAGGTCCAGCAACCACAGTGTCAACAGGAATATTGTAAGAAAGAAATTATTACAGTACTAAGACAATACAATATATTAGAATGCCCTTGGATTAATTTTGTGCTAATAGATTATTGAAGATTTGAACTTTCAGAGAAATGATATTTACCATATTTCCTTTCAGTATGAAAAGTCAAAACAGTAGTATACCAGTTGAGAAAGACAAGACATTTCATGTACACTGAAGCCTCTGCTGGTGGTGAGAGGTTTACAATAGACTTCTTCTTACCTTCAGGCTTGAAAATCAGCACACAAGATGTGTTCTGTATGTATTGTTTATAGCATTCTCTGAAAGCTGATAAAAACCTCCGTAAGAGAGTTGTCAAATTATCTGTGTGTCATGATGAAAGCATTCTAGTAACTTATTCCTTATGTTACAAAAAGGCATTTAGTATTCTGTAGATGTTTTATAGAGCTATTACTGTTAATTATTATAAAAGTATTTAATAATATTCCAATTATCACATGTTGAATAAAATCATCCATTAAAAATTGTGCATAGAATGTATGTGTACTGATAAGTTTTAATGTTTTTTGTTTCTACTTATGGTGATAGATTATTAAAAATGTTAACTAAAATACAAGATGTTTTAAAGTTTAAAACTGGTATCTTTCTAAGTGCAAATCAGAGTTAGTTTTGGTTAAATTTTTTAAATGATTGGTAATCTGATGTGGCATTTTACTGCTGCAGGAAAGTTTTAGACTTATTGGGTTAATTGTCTATCACCTCTTCCTGAGGTCTTGCCATAATCTTATGCATTAAAGTGTTGTTTAGTCCAAATATAAGATAGAGAGTCTTATTGTTAACTATGAAGACCTTGGGTGCTTTTGTAATGTAAATTTAATGAAACCAACTTATAGACTTGCCTCAGTACGTTTGTTATTATTTCACAGCTCTTTGAGAATATTTAACTTATAGATGCTCTGTAAAGTGAGGTAGTGAACTATTGTATTGTAAAAGAATACTTTCTTCATTAAAGGAAAATCTTTGGTAACTAACCTGTAAACTTTTCTTGAGGATGTTACGTGTTATTTGGATGATAGAAAGTTGTCATTAATGGATTCCAGTCAGACTGGATCCTTGTTAGTAGTGGAGTGCCTTAGAAGTCAGTGTTTGGACATTTAATTTTTTTTATTTACATTAATGATATTGGTAGGTGTATAATTGATAAACTAGTAAATTAGCAGATAACATCTAACTCTTTGATATCTTTAAGGATACTTAAAAATGAAACAGAGTATTTATTGGAATTTAACAAGTTAAACAAAATTAACTTTTCACCCCAAATGGCTGTGCCCAAACTTTTTACAAGCAGTACATCTAAATTTCCAAGAACTCTTAACTCATTAATGTAATTTTGACTCAACACCAAGACTTTTGATTCAACAATATAACTATTCAAAAGAGCTTGAGTCTTGGGTCTTGTTTGGAAACCATTAAGGAAATGAATGTTATACGTTAATGTAGCTAAAAACTAAAATATGTATTGAATTATTTAAGTTTCATGTTGTAAATTACTATAAATTACTGAAACATGTGCAAACTTATGTCTTCTTATTTAGTATGTGTCCAGTTCCAGCAGATGTCCACAGAACATTAACATAACTTGTGTAAATATATGACTGCTGGTGTATCAGGTCTAACTCTACCTGTCTTAATTCACCCTTGAATATGAAGGTGACCTTTATAATGAAAGATCAGGAACAGTTTATTACATTTAATACAAGGGGTTAGAAGGAAATTGAACTGCTGGTAGTGGATATCTCTGATATAACTTTTGTTTGTCTTTAGAACCAGAAAAAAGTTGGGATGGCTATGGTGAGTGATGGTAAAAGTCGACCACATCCAATGAGATTAAAACTGTCAGGAAATACACTGGTTCTACAAAAGGAGGAAATTATTGATTCAGCAAATTTCAACAGTCAAAAAGTTGAACCACCAAAGGATTCTAGAGTAGGAATTTTCTTACTATTATTTAGAATTACAATTTTTTGTTTCTGTCTAGCCATTGATAGGGTTCTTTCAATTTTTTTTTATAATTTATTGTCTTTTCTTTTCTAGTTTGGCTGAAAATCATGGTTTGATATTGCAAATATTTTTTAATCATTAAAATGTATAGTGATTTATTTGACGATGAAACTTTAAATGAACTGTTAAAGAATTAAATCAAATAAAAAATTAAGATTCCTTAACTTTTATAGCATAATTTAATTTTATCATATTTTAAAAACAATATTTCTAATTAGGCTTAACATTTCTTTCAAGTAAAAACTCTGAACTTTCTTAAAATAATTAAATTAAATTTATTTAAAGCACAATGTATTTATATTCAGTCAATACATATTTATATGTCAATTATTAATTAAAATGTTAAACATAACTATTAATTAAAATGATTAAAAATACATATTTTTATAATTCATGTGTGCTAAAACAGTCTTGAGATTTATATGCTAAAATAGCATAAATATGAAAAGTCCAAAACTGTCATTTAACTTGTGTAAGTTTGTTGCAAAATGAAGAAAACCACTGAAAGTTTAAAATAAATAAACTTTTTTAAAAACATGTCTTAACCCTTTCCTGACTAGTAGGGTGAGATATCACCAGTTTGTTTTCTTCTCACTCTTTAAATGCTTAACTTTATGGCATGAAGTTTGTTATGCACTTTCTACATAATTTTTAGTTTGTGCTTGGGAGAACTTTATAAGTTTGTGCAGTATTTGTGTAATATTTTAGGTTGTAATTTCTTGGAAATTTTGTTATAAAACTGCTTTTAAACACATTAAAAAATAAATTTTTTGCATTACAGTTTCTCTTTGATTTATTGTGTAAATGCAGCCAACGGAGTTATTTTTACAATAAAACTGATTATGTCTATATTGTTTCAGTAACAACATACTAATTTAGCATGAAAATAGCATTAAATACTGATGAACAACAAAATCATTGACTGCATGGATCACATCTTGCAATCGTATCCTACTCCTAAACATATACTGATATAGTTGGAAAAATTTGAAACTCAGTTTCTAATAACTATTGCTTGTTTTCTTGTATGTCTATGTGTAATTTGAGTACTAATAAATTCACTAACACACACACAAGTTTTTCTGTTGTTTGAATAGTTTTTCATTACATAACTCCTAGCCTAAGCCTAGTGTACTCACTAATCCTAATTATCCTTATATGATGTTTTCTCATATAAGAAATATTCCTGTAGTTTAAAAATAGATATAATACTAAAAGTTTACCATGAATGAAAAGTTCATCATATCAGAATCCTTGGTTTCCATTAGAATAACTTCTTGCAACTTTCTCAAAAAACATATATTCTATTGCTCACCCCACTTTATTTATTTCAATGGTGTACATAAATAAAAATCGTTTTTATCCAATCATTTATAGCCATCAGTTCTATCGTGTTTTGAGACTAAGATTTATTACTTACGTGCTGTAGCATCATAAAAGCCTTTCAACACAAGATTCTTGAAATATTCATTAAGAGAAAAGGAAAGTCATGGAAATCTTCGATAAATTTATTTCTGACAGATCTTAGTAAATATAAGCCTATACCTTGGGAAAAATTCTAAAAAAATCTATATGGCATTGTTTGCAGGTGTATCTCAGAGTTTAAAAATTTTTTTAATTGCAAATTACACTAAAATTGTTTTTTGTAAAGTTACCAGATATCAGTTCTATGACATTTTTGAGAAAAACAATTGTTGAAGTAGAGTTAGAATTATTTCAGATGTGAAATTTGTAATGCAAGTGTGTTCTTGACTCTGTAGAGCTGTCTTTAAAGGGTTAAATACATTTTTATGTAGAGTGGTTGAATTTCTCAAGTTATATAAGCCGTTATGAACTTTTCAAGTATATCGGTAAGAAATAATTTTGGACTTCATGTTTTTGGACTTCATTTTTCTGGACTTCATGTTTTTGGATGTTGTTTTTCATAAAATTTGCACAATTCTACCACAATACTTAGACATTTAATTCCTTAACATTTAGTGTTGTAGTTGAGACCTCAGTGTCCGAGACCTGAGGGTTTGAGACTGAGACCTTGTAATAAATTATGCAATGAAAAATAGAGCAAGAAGAATAAAAATCACATGCATCAAACAAACTTTATTAACATCGTAACTGCAAATCTTTTACACGTTAACCCCACAGTTTTTGTTGTAATGTCTCCTCCTATAAAAATTAAAAAATAATAAAAATATTGAATGAATAAAAAAAATCAAAAATGTTAGCAAGTAAAACATAAGAAAAACTGCTGTTGTTTTTCCAAAGTTTATAGTGTCAGTGAATTCTCCATAATCTTTGAAGCCAAACAGGATCACAGCAAATCTCGTTTAATGTAAATATGTGCACCAGATGAAGTTCATACAAACTTGTAGTAAGCCTATGTGTAATTCAGTGTATAGTTGCAATTATATTTGAATAGCACATGTTATAACTGTAGATTGGTGTACAGGTAATATGGTAGTTGGTGATGTAAGCAAAAATAAGGGAGGCACTGTAACAATCATTACAAAGGTCTAGTAACAACGACCAAAGGATTTTACTAGTAAAACATCTTTGTATCTTTGATGCTATACTGTGCCTTATATAAACTGCTTCATAATTGACATTTAGTGCTTAATAATCCCAGGTAGGTTAAAAAAGTTAATTGGGGTTTGGTCCATTTTTTGGACCACGGAATTATTTTGTTTGTGTTGTTACTGAATCCTAAGTAACAACTCCTATTATGTTGTTGCATTACTCACAGTATGTTAAATTTTGTCCATTATTTATAATTTTAATTAACATACCCTTTTCATGCCATGTCTAATTTATGTGGTAATATTAATCTTATATTTTCACCAGCTTCACTTATACATGGTGGCGCTATTAGTTGGTGTTCACAATACAGTTCCACTTAGCAGTTCTGTACAAACACACACATAATCCTATTTTTACGTACAAAACCCTTTTAAAATAAAGCTATGTTTGTGTCTTGGATTCAGTTAGCCTAACACTGTTTGGCTCGTAAGTTTCGAATTTATGATGTTTAGAGGAGAGAGTTTCTTAGGGCTTGGTTCATCATGTATTATGTAGCTCTAGTTTTCTCATCAGTTCATATTTATCAATATTTTTCTTATAATATTGAAGCGAGTTATCCAGGAGTCTGTCTGATAGTGTTGACATGTTTGAATAGTTGTGTAAAAATTCTGAGTTTGTTGATCGTGGGACTCTAAATGATTTAGTTAAAATATAGTTTTGTATTTGCTGTAGTTTGTTGATGTATAATGGCTGGAGACGGCTTGAATGGGTAATGAAGAAAAACTTTAATATAAGTTTAACATAACAGCAAATGTACAACGTTTTGACAAGGTTTTGTTATCATCACTTATATTAAAGTTTTTCTTCATTACCCATTCAAGCCGTTTCCAGTCATTATTAGTCTCAAAGTGAGTTCCTCGTCATCGAATTTGTTGATGTATGTTTTTGGTACGTTTATCAATGTTCTACAAGCATATTCTATGACTGGTCTAATGTATGTTCTGTAAATTTTTAATATGTTTTCTGGTAATGCTTCTTGGTTGTTGCCAGTCAGACTTTTAAGGTAACTCACTTTTTTCTAAATTCAGGTTTTTATGCTATTAATGTGTGGTATCCAGTTTAATTTTGAGTCAAATGTAATCCCTAAGAATGTTTCTGATGTTGCTACCTGTAAGAGAGTCCTGTCTAGATATAACTGTGGTATTATTTTGTTTGTGGTGTACAATTTTGTAAATAATATGACCTGTGGTTTGTGCGTATTAGTTTTAATTCTGTAGTACAATTCTATTTCGTTTAGTAGTGGTTGTATATTGTATGTTGTTGTTGTTGGGTTTGGGGCACTCTTCCAGATTGCAATATCATCTATGAACTGTGAGCAAAAAATGTGGTTTGGGTCTTTAAGAGGCATGTCGCTGACATACACGATAAACAGGGTAGGGCTTAGTATTCCTCCTTGAGGGACACCTGGAGTTCAGCACTCGGAGCAGGTGCCCTCAAAATTTATTCTGATGCTCTGGTCTTCCAGAAAGTTAGAAACCCAGCGAATAATATATATGGGGAGTTCCGATTTGGACAGTTTGTATCTGAGGCCAATGTGCCATACTTTATCGAATGCTTTTTCAACATCTAGGAAGCATGCTGCTGTGCATTTTTTTTTTTTATTAAAAATGTGTATTACTTCTGTTAATCTGATGAAATGATCTGTTGTTTTGGAAGCCATTTTGTATTTCTGAGAGCTGATTTAGTTTCCAGGTAATTCATGAGTCTATTATTTATAATTTTTTCTAGTATTTTTCATAGATTGCTTGTTAGACTTATGGGTGTTTAGTTTTCTGGATTATTCAATGATTTTCTTTTCTTCTGGAACAGAACATCGGCTTGTTTCCAAGTGATTGATTTGTTTCCTGTTTTTAAAGATAAGTTGTATAAAGATGTGAGATGTTCTGATAATCTTGAAGGGCTCTTCTTGAGTAATAAGTTTTGAATTTTGTCTTGTCCTTCATTTTTTGAAAGTTTTATGTTTTCTTGTACTCCTACTGTGATGGGTCTGATAAGTTGTTTTGTTGTGTAATCATGCTCTGCTTCTGTTGTTATGCTATTGTGTTGAGTGACCGTAGTGAAGTGTGGTGTATATATATATATATATATATATATTACAATTGGTTGTGATATAATTATTTACTATATTCATGAAGTGGTTGTTCATGTTTGAGTCATCTGGTGTTTTGAATGTTTTTTGGAGTTGTTCTTTAAAGGCGTGCACTTTTTGTTTATTTGTGTATGCTAGTTTATTAGAATGTTTAAGTGTAGGATAGGTGGTGGTAGTTGTTTTGGGATCTGTTTTTGAGCTTATTTGTGTACAGAAGGTGTCCAATTTTTGTGATTTTAGAAGCTTAATATCATTTCTAATTTTGTTTCTGAGTGTATTTATTTGTGTTTTTGTTTGTGGTGTCATATACTCTCTTCTTAATCATCTTCGTTTGTTTATTTTGTTGATTATGTCAGTGTCTTAATACTGGTAAAACTTTTAAATTTAGCGGGTCTCGCTTTTGAGAGCCAAATGGTCGAGACTTTCCAAAGGGTGGTCATAAGACCTACAACACTGTTAACATTCCAGGTATTTAGTAAACTTAACTTTATTTGTTTCATACATTTCTAGTTTAATATTCTCTTCTTTTACAGGAGAGGGTGATAACGATACATCGACAGAAGGTTGGAGGCTTGGGGCTTAGCATCAAGGTATGCTGCATAATAAAAACAGAACTGTATATTGTATTGTAAAGAATATATGTAACACAATATAATATTATATGTATTCATATAATAAATATGATATTGTCAGAAGTTCATATTTTATTTTGGATACTCAGTTTTTGATAACTCAGCATTAGAATGGCTTTTATCGTGCATATGTTTGGTAACTTTAAGAATCGAGGAAAAAAACCTACTTTTTAATCATAATTAACAACTTATACAGAACAGACCAAAAATTAACAGCTAATTTATTACTGGGGTCCACTAAAATACATTTCACACTCATCACAGTTCCTGGATGGATTGTGTTGACCTTGTTTAACTGGACTTCACATTAATTTTGCCTCCTTGTAAAGTAGAAGAGCTGCATATTCTTGTTTTCAGGATGGGCATAGGCATCCACAGGAATTTTTCCGGGGGGGGGGGGCAAAGTAGTGTAGAATTGTAAATTGAATAAAAGATTCAAATACATATGTTAAACGAATAAAGAAAGAATTATGTTTCTCATTTTCCAGTTGGGGGCAGTGCCACCTCTTCCCCCCCTGCAGGCACTCATGAGATTGGGTTGTGTGAACACAGCATCAACAGAAAAACACTATAGTACTCAGCATTATGTTTCAATGAAAGCAAGCTGCCTACTTAGATTATATGACTGACACCATTTTTTAGCATAGGAGAAGTTCACGTAACACATTACTTTTAAAAATGAGGTATTATAACCAAGAAAACAAACGAAATTCCATTACAAAAAGGCCTAGTTGTGGGTTTTATTCAGTTTTCATATTATATGCGAAAATTAGTAGTCTTTTGAGAATATTTTGCATGTGTTCTCTGAAGTAGCACCAATAAACCATTTGGAATTTTGTTTGCTGAGATTAGGTTTATTGGAATGAGGCCTCTTGTTTGATTGAGAAACATTTAACAATGTTTAAAATTAGGATTGTCAGTTCTTGTTAATGGAAAGCAGAAAGAAAACAGAGCTATTAACACAGATTCATTATCTCTTTTTGTACGAAGTGGGTCAATTTGAACCATGTCGAAAGTGGGAAATTTTACATACTATAACCCATAATTAATAGGTGTATGTTCATGAAGTTTGGCACGCTTTTAGTAAACATTATAAGTCTGTTGCTTACAAAACAAATCCGTTTTTAATAAAATATTTCTATTAAAGATTTGATTATGAATTTATGATGTCTTTACTGAGTATCTCTCCTTAACTTCGTTATTTATTTTGGGCTTTAACAGATTCTTATTGCTTGTTGTTTTCCACATATCTGCTTCACTCTTATTCATTTGTTTATTGAGACTATTGATGTAAGTCTGTCTCAGCCTAACTCTACTACATTTCTCTTAAATTTTTCCTGTTATCACTAAATTTGCCTTTTTTTTCCATTGTCTAGCTCAAGAACTGTAGTTGCCTTCTTCTGATTGTTGTTATCATATCTCTGTACATGACTGTGATTTTTCTTAGCAAAATATATCAGTGGTTTGCCATTGTCTTCTGTTGAGGTTTTTTTCTTCTGAGACACCAACTCCTTACTGGATGACCAGTTATGCTCCACTTGAGTGCCACCTTTCAACAGGTGTTTCTTTTCATCTTGTCTAGGTGTAAAAGTCTCCCTCCCACTGATTACCTCCCAGTTCATAGTAAGGGATTCAATTTTGTTGCTGACAACTTGTCCCTGTTCTAGTCACATTTTATGACATACAGAGGATAAACTGGACTTGATTTCTTGCCTAACCAAACCCACAGGATCTTTACTGAGCCAGCCTGAGTGGAAGTGGATTTTAGTATTGAAAATAAAAATTCTTCTTTTCATCTTATGATTTTCCTGTTTCATTTGCATTACCTCTAGAAACTACCTAAGTGGATTTAAAATTTTTTTTTTTTGGTTTCTGGTTAATATAAAATTTATATAGTTATGTATTCTATGTACTATAACATCAACTGTTGTGAAATCATCAATGTACAGTAAAATGAAAAGTTGAAAGATATGAAATAAAATTTATAATACCCTTTTTTTTTCTTGGC